TTTAACAAGAAAATAAAATACAAATTGATCAGCTTCAAAGAGCTAAAATTATTCATTTTTATATAATGTAAATTATATTAAAAATTTATTTAATTGTAAAGTCACAAGTAGTACCTTAATGTAAGCAAATTACTGAAGTTTTCTAATTATAAAATAAACTAAGTGCATGCAACGAAAACCTGCAAGGTTACAAAGTGAAGGTAAAAAAGCAGACAGCGCATAAGCTGCTAATAAAAATTGATCGCAAACATAAATCGGGTGAAATGAAATATGAGAGCGAAACCAGACATGACGAAATGTAAGTCTTTGAAGATTAAAGGTATATATTTATATATGTATATTTTTTATAAACGACAATTTATATATGATGACCAATCTGGATACTTTCTACAAGGACATGCATATTATTAAAGAATGTTTTTCTTCAGCCAAAAATATTTATATACGGAATTCGAATTAATTAATGTGGTTTCATTCCAATCGAATATTTCATGAAATTTGTATGTTGCTTAAAAGTCGCTAATTGAAAAAAGTTTAATATATACAAAGTTACAAGAAAATTTTAAATTGGAATTATATTTTTAATATTTATTTTTTAATTAAAATTCTGCTTTTACAAACAAAAAACACACTTCTTAGAAATTATTTTTATTTAGTTTTTTAACTTACATCCTTTAAATAGCCACCAATGTACTCTTCGCAGTAATTTAAAAAGAAATCAGCTGTTTTCAAACTGGGGAAGCGCGAATTATTTTAAAATGAGGCGCGAAAAAATACTAGAAATAGAATTTGGAAGTCACCCTCATTTTCTGCCAAGATTTTTCTAAAGGGAACATAGTAACATATAGTTTGGAAACCCTGTTCTAAATGATCATGTGTGTACATCACCCATCGTAATGTATTGACTTATTCCTTCAATTTCTTCATGAATGTTGGCCTTCGATTGCTGAAAGATCTTAGAATGTCCTCATTGTTTTAAATACCTTCACAGGAAGAAGTCTCAGAGTTTTGCGAAATTATCCTCTTTCCAAAAATGTGCCTTTTTCCATTGCGTTGATTATATATATAAAATTGTATTACTTTCGGACGTTGTTGTAATTATTGAAATCAATATTTAAAAACGTTTTCATCTAAATGAATCATAAAATAAACAAGCATTATCAATTTTGCTGTTGATTGCGAATGTTATGAATCATTCAAACATATTTGTTCAATATAATTCACTTTTTTTTAAAGAAATTAATATTTATCTGACAACGGTTGTCATAAAACTAAGAAAATAACGCGTATACATATCTTGTAAAAAGGATACTTACTACAGTTAGGTACCATTTGGAATGGTTAAAAATGATTGAGTAGTTTATATCAGTTACAACTGACAGAGGAAGAACATACATGTTCCAGTGATAATACAATGATATAGAATTCAAAATGAATCCCATTTTTTAATTATTTTATTTGTGATAAAACATTTTTACGCTTATAAATAAAAATAAATAATGTAAATTTATAATAAATTTAAAATAATTTATGATACTAATGTAAAATAATATAGTGTTTTGTGGCATTCATAGACAAAAACTCGTATACGTGTTGGTAATACGCTTATACGAGTTCTTGTAGAAATTACGTAACCAAGCGTGATTCAACTCAACCTCAACGTTTTTTTTTCAATTCTTCTTCTAATTATGTTTCTCACATGGCTTCGCGTTTATTTTTTTTACAAATCGACATTTGCACCTGGATTTATAAATATGTTTATTTTTAGATTCGTTTGAAACTGGTTACAGAAGAATATTATTCGGTTGGAATCTTCTAATAGCTTCTTTTTATTATATTAATGTTTATTTCTAATTAAAATATTGACACATTAGTTATATAATTAAATATTTATATAAGTGAAGATTACTAAAAAGAGTATGATATGATAGAAGGAATGATCTTAATTAGTAATTGTTTTTATCATATTTTTTTTTATTCATACTATATACCATTGTCACCTGTGGCTTGCAAACTGTTGTCCAGTTATGTATAAAACATGTTTTAGTTCAAAATTTCGCTTTAACTATATTCGCTACCGTTAAGAAAAAATGACGTAATATGTTAAGTGTTAGAAGGTCGTTAAAAAGTGAATTCTTAGTAATAAACATCGGCAACTTCTTCTGACATAATTAAAAACATAAATATAAGATATAATTAAGCATGTGTAACATTTGAGTTATGTGTATCTAAAAATAAAAAATATATATATTTTTATTACTAGTATAAATATCTTTTGACAATAAATTATTAATCTACAAATGTTAATTTTTAATTAAATTACAGTTTTGTGTGAAAAGTAACTATTTCCGCACCTAAATATCTGGCTGCAAATCTAATAAAACACAAACATATGGACTTACATTTCTCAATTACATTTTGTAATTTTAATACCAAGTAATTAATAGAGTTGTGTAATATGTAAATTACAAGACAATTTTCCAAATTTACTTATGTTGTTTTAGTGATAGATTATAAATAAAATAGATGCTATTAGAAAAAATATATATTATAATATTATGTACATTTAATCAATTTCAATTGCAATTTTATCTTTGCGGTTGTTTTACATTTATACTTCCTACTATGATTCAATTTATGCATTCGAAGATAAGTTGCATATATAAATTATTTTATATTTACAGTCTAGTAGATTTTGACATAGTTTAATGATAACTCTTTATACTATATTTATTCAAAGCCATCTTCTTGGTTTTGATTATTATTATTTATCATTACTTTGGGATTATTTTGTTCTATACTTACAACATTTCGCTTAATAACATTTGTTGAACAAGTAAGATTTATATGGTATACGATTTAGTTATGTAATGTGTCATAAAAGTGTCGTGCAGTATGTATTTATATGTACGTAACAAAATAATATCCTATAATTTGAAATTTCTCTTCTCCTAGAATCCAATAAAAAGACGATAAAAAGATCGTATTTTGATACTTACACATTTCTAATAATAATTATAATTGCAACAATAAATTACAAAATAAACAATAATAAAAATAAAAGAAAAATCAACTGCTACAAAGGGCCTTTGTAATATTACTAAATAGAAATATTTTCGTGCTGCTAAAATTTGTATATATGTAATAGAAAAATGAATTTGAAATCATATTTATTTAGTCTAAATTTTACTGTAATTTAAATTTAATTACAATTAAAAAATATTTAAAAAAAACATTTGTGACATCTGCAAGAACTAATTAAAACATAAATAAATTAAGTTCTAAAATTTAATAGTCTTTTATAAACAATTATATCATTTTTACAAATGAGAAAATTAAATGTAAACATACCTGGCGATGTTTAAGCAAACACACTTTTATATTGCCAAAAGAAATTAAATATCCATTTGCTGTAAGATTCAAAGTTATTTTTTATTATTATTGACAAAATCCAGTGAAATGCTTGTATAAATATTGTGTTAATATAGTTGAAAATCATAGTTTAATTTAATATTTTATCTAAATGTTATATAATGATATATTAATGAAATATTAGAAAAAAATGAATAGATGCAAAAATATTAGAAAATACGTCGTGTATTGAAATATGTGTATTAGTTTTACTGTACATTATTATACATACAGTATTAGAAAATATATCCTGATGTACGAGTAACCATTGCAACAGGTTGTTGACTGTAAGCCCAAAATAAAACATTTCTCGTCTTTGACTTAATTGAAATAGAATAATATATAGAGGTTCCTAAGATATGTGATGCTATTGCAGTGCTGGTAATCCATCAATAGTGTAGATTTCTTGAAGGATGACCAACGCTTGAATTACATTACTGGTTTGCACATGCAGACCACAACAATAGTCGTACAATAAACAGAATCCCGTCGTACTCATCATCGAACAACTGACGACGACGATGTGTACCTTCTAAAAAGCGGAAGCCTTGGAATTTTAAAACGAGGTGAAATGCGTTCCTGACGAAGAAGAAAAGGAAGGGATTCAGTCGGTTGAGGAGAAGCGCGACCGTGGATCGTTCGCATTCAATATTCAAATACGCTGGTTATGAATTCACACCGACTCGGCTCGATTAATTTGCCTAAACGATGTCAATTTATGAACGGAATAAAAATATTTAATGAAATTTATATTTTAATGAAGTTCTTGAATAAACAGTGAGTGCGTGTGCTATGTCTGTGCTAAGTTTAGGTGGATGTAAAGTAAAGTAAAGCAATAGATCTGGTTCAGTGGAAATGCAAATAACAATATAACCCATTAACGTCGATTACTAATTGATTGGTATTAGAGGTCCCCGAGCGTTCTGCGTCAGAAATTCCGCGGCGTTTTCCCTCCTCGTCGTGTCCCCCCAATCGTTGGTCGTGGCGCGCGCTAAACTTGAAATATAATATTTAATTTTAGTTTCGACTCGGACAATTGCTGGTCAACAACGCGACATCACTCATAAATAGGAAAATTAAACAATCTTACCACCTTCATCCATTGTCGCCTCCCGTGCTAATCAATCTCGAGATATTTAACGGGCCCACGTTAATCTTCGCCTTCCAATCGAATGTCGAAGTCACGAAGAAAAGTGAAGTTTCATATTAGTTCGAAAGTTCAGTGTTAACAGCAGCATGGGCGAAGACAGCACGAACAATGATAAAAACGACTGCGAAGAGTTCGAGATGATCGACGGATGTCCTGACCATCTCGACGATGATAACAACAACAACAACAACAGGTAATAATTAGGGCGAGACGATTGTCTTCCGGGCACCGAGAATAGTTTTCTTACGTTTTGTTTTGTTCTCGTGAGATTTCGTGTATTGTTCTAAGTTCCAAACACTTCAAAGTGTTTATACTCAGTTGCGGAAAACCGCTCGTGCATTAAGAATACAAATAAAACATATATACTACAAGGAAAAATCTTTGACATGATAATTTGAGCAACCACTGAACTTTTAGATATTTCTCAACATCCATTACAATAATTATATAACTGAAGTTTAAAGTTTCTATCCAAATATGTTTCTTTTTAATATACGCATTTTCTTCAACCGAATCGAATTTGATTCATACTTTTTGGCACTGATCTCTCTCCTATTTGCCAACGAATAAACCATTTTGATATTATTTTTCATCATCCACCATTCGTTTGTTTCCTTTCCAAATTTTCTAGTGCAACAATTGCTATTATTAATAATAATTCAACTTAAGTTTAAAACATTTCCTGGAAACAAGTACCTTTCGTTAATTACAACTCAATGGAAACGAATTTTTCTTTAATTCATGAAATAAAATAACGAAAATGTTGAAACTTATTATAATAAAAGATATATACATTGGACAATTGATCGCATTTTTAAATAAATATTTCTAATTATTGCAGTTGTCTGGATACTCGAAAAAATAAACTGTTCCTTTACTAGCAAACCTAAATACACGTTGGTCAAAGTATTTTGATCATTATTTTTCCGACAACTTATTAACTATGACAATATATTATATTTAATTGTATTTGTTGTTATCATTTCTTCAAAATATTTCACGAATATTTATCTTTGTCATATCTGGAAAGATTTAAATAAGAACCATAGATCTTCTACCTGAGTTTTCGTGTTCTCTTGTTTGAGTTAACCTATATTTAATACATAAATGGAAGAAGTTATTATAATAAGAAAATACAATTTTGTTGTTACTTACTTTGTTTGTCATGTAAATAATGCAGTAGCATATTTATATTTGATTTAATAAATTCATAAGGAGTAAACTATTTATATTTATCTATCCGCAATGTTTATAAACATTGTTCAATATTATACTAAAAAGAAAATAAAACCTTGTTTTTATTTTAGATCAGGATTACACAAATATTTAACTTAACATTCATTCTAAATATACTCCTGTTATTATGAATCGATTACAAATTCTCAATCAGCCTTAGATTTTAGCACACTGTAATTAGTGGAATGTTTTCATTTACGATTAAATACTAATAAAGGTTAAAGATCAAAGGGATGAGTGTCTCACGATAATTGGTAAAACATCCAGTTTAGTATTTGGATGTCCAAACATCGCCATTTACTTTAACTTTACTTCAATAAACGTGTTTTATGAGCTATGAGAAAAATCTGGTTTTTAGTCTTATGGAATGCATGTACACGTTTTGAAGGTCAACTTTCGAATGTAGTTCAGTTTTATTTTGCAGCTTTCCCGTCTCGTTTATAACGGAAAATGAGATTAATTGAATTTGTTCGTTTAGTAGAAAACCCGGGTGATATCTATGGACATTTTACAGCTTATAGTATGTTACTGATAATGTGGAATATTCTTCAAAAATAAGTCTTAATATTATATATAATATTAATATTGATCACACTCATTAAAAAAGTGATATATCTGAGTGGACATTACGTTCTAGCTATATATATGATTAATTAATTAAATTTTCTTGCTAATCTATTATAATTTCACCCCTGAATTATATAATTAACATAAATCTTATAAAATGATTACTCTTTTGTAATGAATAGTGTAAATCATCTTCTTAAACAAATTTTAATTAAACATAGAATAGAAGTTACTACAGTTCTGAATAAGTATTTGAATATTGAGTTAATTGTTAAACAATTTGACTCGCTAATAAAATTTCCACAAAATGAGCTATATTTAGATCTCACAGGAGATACATTCATGTGCCAATGTACTAAGACTTTAACTGGGTCAGCTAATTTAGTTCGTTAGTTTTATGGACTGTACAATTTGCCTAAATTGGGAAGACTGGATTGGGATATGACAGGGAATTTCTTAGTCCTTCCTCAACTTATTAACTAGAAAAACTATCCAGAATTAATAACATTATTTGTTTGCCGAATATTGTAACAAACCGGACTAATCGAGGAACTAAAATTATAATATTTATGTGTCCTAATAATTTTTGCATACTAGAGATTTTAAGTTCATAATATCACACTAAATTATTATTGGAATACATATCAAAATTATCATAATTTTGATAAATGATGACATACTACAACTCTTTTATCTCTATTTGGTGGTGTGTTATTAACGTATATGTGATGCATCTTCACAGAACAAATGTTATCAAGCAAATTAGTAATATCAATTACCGCGAATCCCAATTCATAATAAAAAAAACAAGAACCCGAACGCAAACTTGGATAATTGACCTTTCCGTTCTTCAAATTATGTTAAATTATTCCACGCCCGATGTCCAAACTTACTTTATAATTATATATACCGAGTGTAACAACTATGCACTAAGCATAAATACGATTAAAGTTTATATTAAGACCTCGATTGGAATCGTATGCAAATCAATTCTATTTCCGTTTTGTTGGTTCGATAACATTAGTACTTTTTTTTTCTACTTCGATCGTGTCTTTAAAAATCAAGTTTTTTTTTGTTGTTCTTCATCACTCATGATGAATTATTAAGCAATTGCCGGCCACTAATTACGGATCATTTAAAAAACAATTTAACTAACTGCTAATTAATGAGAATAAATTTGTACAGTTGATAATATAACTGAAGCTTTGTTGCGTAATTGTTTAATTGGGTGCGAGGCACATTCGGTTTTACCTTCAAATTGACTTGCAATTCTTTTGGATCTCTTTGGCCTAGATAGATCGTTTGGCTCTAGCCGAACAACCGGTTTCCATAGAAATCAAAAATATTCTCGACGATCTTAGGAGACGTTAAGCAATTATTTCGAAACACGAAAATCGTACGCAACATCTTATATAAAAATGCAATTAGAACGTGGGCTTTTTTTATAATGAGAAACAAACATTTGGTTAACGTATCTTTAGTGCGCTGTAATCTTGTCATAATGATCTCACGAAAAACTTACAATTGCGTTACAATTAATACGAATTTCTGTTTTATAATGTTTAACAATAAAATTTATAAAAGACAGCAATTGAGAGAAATAATAAATATTTTTAAAATTTGAGTATTCTCAAGGCTATAGATAACATTTTTGTATATTTTACAAATACTGACATACAGATATCCACGTTCATTGTTGAGTCGCAATTAAAAGTGTTTTATATAAATGTTGAATTAACATATGTTAAATCTTGTTTCAACATTGTTTCTGTAATTAACTTAACTAGCATAAAATGATGAAAAAGTATGTTATTTTTAACCTTTTAATAGAAGCATATTTATTTATATATAAACAAGCTAAGTTTACATTTTTGTCAGTTTCTATAATAGTAAATAAGTTTGTATGTATTGAAATATTGGTAATTTGCAATAGTTATAGAAATTCTAGAAAATTATCTTAAATTTAATAATATTAATTAAAGATTTGCGTTATTTTATAATTATTTACCTTTCTGCAAATAAGTAATCCTTTAAATGTGAGTAAACCACATGTTATTAGACATACATCAAAAAGAAAATAAAAAAACAACCAATTCAATTCTATTAGAAATATCTTTAACATTCTCAATTAATCAAAATTCTAGTTTTTTTTTATTAGTTTTTGTTTATATGTTAGGAATGTTAGTTCTCTGAGATAAACAGTATATATTATTTCAACTCGACGAATTTTGCTTTGCTACGCGCCAAACTGCTTACGTAATATTTTTTTCAGTCGAACTATTAAACTTGATTGTTCCCCGAGACCGTAAATTGGTTGCTATTTATTATTGCTGATTATTGCACACTTCTTTTTTAATAGGACTTTATTGATTGCAACGACGAATTGTTATGTCGTCGTGGAACGGCTCGAAATCAGTGGGTTGCGTAACGATCTCATAGCTTAGCCATCAATTGATGGATCGAGTTTAATTGCGGCAATTGCCGTATCGTTTCCATTCCGTTTTGAAGATGGAGGGAGATGCGGAATGCAGACGTCCATGTAATAATAAATAACTAATAACCAAAGTCGTCAAGGTGAACGGGAAGAAAATGAGAGTAGTCGGGCACTGTTCCAGAAAAAATCGCGTTTTAAATACTCAAATGTATGCTGATTATCTTATTTTAAATGCGTTCTCAATTAAAATTAAAATAAACCAGAAGATTATCTTCACCTTAATTAGATCTATTAACCATTTACTGTTGAAACTTTAAACGTTACTTAATTGTATATAGCTATTATTTCTGACGAGAACGATAATAACATATTTCACATGGAATTGACTTGAATTGAAAAAAAATTCCACAATAGACGATTTTGCTTTCACAAAAGATTCGATCCAGTAGTAAATTACTCTTTCTATGATGAATAATTTCCATCTAATTTTCATGTCAAATTATCCAAAAGTAATAATAGAAAAATATATCTTTCAACAAAAATAATTTTTCTGTTTTGTTTCTCCCATATTTTTGTTTCATGTTTTAATATTAATATAAATTAAGATGTTAAATGTAATATTTATATATAAGCAATTTATAAATAAATATACAAGTTCATGTAATAACAAGAAGTTGTAGCAAGGTCAAATAAATGTTGCGTTGAAATTGTACTTATTTCCTTGTTTACAACAACGTATTGTGTTCGATGCAAATAATTGACAATGTCAAAGTCAAGAATTAGGAATACAATGGAAATGAAACAATTCTGATCTCTTTTTATTCCAGTGTTTTTGATATTAGTCAATAATATTCTATGTTTCAATAAACATGTTTATTTTAATAATTTTTAAAATGTGCATTGTTTGCTTATTTCGTATTATATTCATAAAATTATTTATAACTCGTTGCAAAAGG